CTGCGACCGATTCAGGCTGGACATAAGGAACAACTGCTTTACTGTCCAAGACCCCAAGGTTTGGAATAGACTGCCACCGGAGGTGGTTCAAGCACCCACTTTGAATGCCTTCAAGACACATTTGGATGTTTATCTTGCTGGGATCCTATGATCCCTGCTGACTTCCTGCCCCTGGGGCAGGAGGCTGGACTCAACAATCCTTCGGGGTCCCTTCCAGCCCGAATGTCTATGAAATCTATGAAATCTAAATCCATTTGATCAGGACAAGGAGCCAGCTGGCAGAAGGTCTCTGGAAAGCATGTGTGGGGAGGTCAAAAGCTTTTGGTGCTTGTGGAAGGGTGCCCCCACCGCAGTCACGAGTTAGTAGAACTCCATCAGTTTCAGTGGGAGAAGACAAGGGACATCAGAACATTGGACTGGAAGAGAACAAATGAACTAGCAAGTCCAGCCTTTAAGGACAATTCCTAACCAAAGGAAGCACCCATATTGTCACCTGGAACCCTCACCCACACTTATAAGGAACTATATTCTGAACACTCAAGGACAGATCACAGCAAAGGAGATATGGACACTGGCTGTTAAAGAGTTCACTGGAAAAATCCTATCTTTAAACTCTTGTCTGCTAACGTTCAAGATTACCTGTAACTAGGTCCCTTCTAATTTCACATTGAGCATATGCATTCTTTAACTCATCCACTCTGGTGGTAACTATTAGTACCTAGGGCCTACTTCTCAAGCTCTAGTACTGTATACAAGACAGAGAGATCCTAATTGCCATGTGCATTGTGAACAAGTGAAGGCTGTGACTGCATAGGCTGCCGCCTACTGGGTGGGATATGCATGAGTAAGAACACATTTATAAAGGAAATGACAGTCCAAAATAAAACGACTTGTACCAGCACTTGCAACTTGTTCAAGTGAACCAGGTACAAGGTACAAACACTACATGTTCTAACTCCACCTAACCCTGCCCAAAACTTCCAGGACGTTCACAGCTCAAGGGGATTTTCAGGCCAAACTCAGGGCAGCAGCCTGTTGTGAAGACAGGAGCATACATCCTGAGCACACCTTTGTGCCCCTGCTACACTCTGACTGAAACTGATTATCACCACCAAGCCCCTCACTCCCGGTCAGCTTGTGCCCTGCTGCCACACACTCACAGCACAACTAAAGACGGTAGAAGAGAATCCAAAGCACGCCCCCATGCACCTTTCCCTATTTTCTGAAGGCTGTGAATTCCTGATATTTTATCAAATGGGAGTGATGAAAGCTCTACAGGAACTGTCACCTGAGATACTGAGATCAGCATCTAAGATCTATGGGACATCCTCAGGGGCACTTTTAGCCACATTAGCCACCTATGGATGTGCAACAGGTAAGAAACACCTGGTGTAATATACTATGTGTCACATTGAGCTTTTTAAAGGGAAGTCAGTGGACAGATCTAAAAGTAGTGACTGGAGTGTTTATTTGGAAATGTGAAAACACAGCCTGTTAAGCATTGTCACTTTTTAATTCTAGATGGAGTAGATTTTTACATGAATAAAACAGTGAAAAATATGGAGGGCTCAATCCTCAGATACTTATTTCCAAATAACAGATGAATCCAGAATATACAGAAGGCGTTAGAAAAATGTCTGCCAGATAACACACACCATCTGGCTTCAGAGAGGCTGCACATTTTTCTTGTGGTTGTGGTATCACAATTCAGCTCAAAGGAGGAGATCATCCAGGTAACAGCAGCTTTCTGAGTGCTGAATTTGAAGTAAAAGTAACCGAGAGTCCGAGGAGCTTCTTCACAGACATATAAGGGGAAGTGTACTGCTGTAATGTGAGGTATAATGCAAGCCCTGATCCACAAAGACTCTTTAACTGTTTATCTCGTATTGGACATACTAATGTTTTCAGCATGGGAAGTAGCCAGGTCAGTCCCTGGTGTCAGGCAAAACAGCAGTCATGGCCTATGTTGGATTAACAGATCCCAAGTGTATGGAAGAGCACAGGCTGCCAAAAATCTACCACCCCACTTTACACCATTAAGTCACAGTCCAAAGACCAAACTGAGTCTGAACATTCAATACCTCAATGGTTGCAGCTTCTGCCAGAGCGCAATAGATTAAAGCAGTTGCTGATGGCCTAATGCCTCAATGAGAGCACATTTCTGTCAAGGTGATGTCCCTTTGCCTTTCTCCAACCAAGAAGTACCCACAAGGGTACTGGGGGCTAGGGTTTGAGGCACCCTAAATTCCCCTTACTCTGGAGCTTGCAACGTTGCAGTATTTTATAGGAGCTACCCCACCACGAGTAGCCCCACCATGTTGCCACCCAGCCCTCCAGTTGGTTGCAGTTCATGGTCATATCCAGAGTCAATTAGCAACAGGTGAGTACCAAACTAAGATGAGGTTCCCTTGCACATGAAACAAGATCACAGTTGAGTACAGAGATAAAAGAGGAATTCCAAGGAGAGCAGAAGCCAGGACCTGGGGGTTACAGTGGAGAAAAAGCTGAAAATAAGCCAACATGATGCACTGGTTGCAAAGAAGGCAGTACTTCGTGGGTCATCAATTTACCTGATGCCTTCTAAATTCTTCATTCCACAGATGTGAATGACCCTCTCTTCTTTTTAACAGTTTTGATGTTCAAGCTAGCCTTTGTACTGCAGTTTGCTGTCTGTTTGCTGCTCCTGGGAATGAAGCTCCTATTTCACAGCCCTGCAGATTAAAGCAAAAACAAGCATAACTTCATTGGAATGAGTTAAAAACAATCTTAAACAGCATAATCCAGCCCTAGTCCCCTAGCATATTAATAAAACTTGTAGTTTATTTTTAACTGCAGAAAACTGTGTTGTTTTATATGTGATGATGCACTTCACCATCTGCACCCCCAC